ATTTCTTTTCAATTCTCCCAGTCCGAAAAATGAAAAATGCCAGCCTTCCTCATCCGAGGAAGCACTTCTCTCATCGTCTGCAAAAGCCCAGGTGCAGTCGTCTGGAAAAGAGCCTACGTGTAAATTGGGCTCTGAATCAAAGGCGCGGTGCGCTCGCCGCAAGAGGTTCATTTGCTCACTACTCAGCCACCTACGACAATGCTTGACCAAGTAGCGCGTGAGGCCGCACCCCTTACGCCACTTACCAAAGACATACGCCGGGCCCAGTGAGACCCAGTTCGTACTGCTGAAAGAAGTGAACGATGGTGTTGAAACCGAAAGGGCGCTCGCGGAAGGTTTTGGTTGAGCCTCCAGGGAGCTAGGAAATGGGAAAACAAGAAAGAAGAACCTCAGACCCGAGACCCGGAAGCTCAGTTGAACCGCACATTTAAACGAAACCTAAAATCTATTCCTGAACCACCTTCTGCGCGGCTGCACCAGACAATGCGTCGCCGACGGTTGTGCTTCAAATCCATGTGGTGCGTATGCCTATAGTGCGAACCACGACACCTCTAAACAAAGAAGGGGTAATTAGGCTGTGATTAGGGGCGCCGAACGGTAAAGTCCCAAAATTAATGTGCTATGCTCATCAGTTCCGCAAGTCAGCACAACACGCCACAGCCCACAGTACGTAAATCAGTTCAACGTGCAGCAGTGCATTTTCTGGTTTCAATCCTGTAATGGGGGTAGAATCTCAACATGTCAGGGCTTCATGGCTTTTCATGCTTCAGGGCTACCTAGGGGCTTAAGATTTTAGCATGTATCGGTCCTGAATTTGGATGCCAAGTGGAATATGAGTCCATATAGGCCGAAAACATGGCGAGTTTTGCAACACGCGCTCCTTTCGAAGACCCTTTTTCGCCTCCCCCCCGTATGAATTTGAGGGTTCAAAAATGTAGGGATGTGGGATCTTGGAATTCTTAGGATATTGCGCGTTTAGGATGTTAAGAATTTTAGGGTTCGTCCCTTGTAGGTTTTGATGCCTCGGCCTGGGCTTCAGGGCAACTTGGGGCAGAAGGACTTCGGAACCGTAGCGGAATTCGGGACTGAGGGGCGGAGCTGGGAAGTAGGTGTGGCCGCCACATTGGAGAGGGAAGCAACGATTCTGCAACACGAGCCCCCTTTGGAAGATGCTTTTTCGGCCCCGCTGAGTTGCAATTAAGATGCTGTGACATCAAGGACTAAGGTCAATTGGTTGGGTGGGTCAGGATTTTAAGATTTTAAGGTATGAAGTTTTAGGGTTTCACGATTTTCGGAGACTCGGGCGCTGGGGCTTGTAGAGTCTTACGAGATTTGAGCAGGATTGTCAGCATTTTAGGATTTGGGGGTCCTGTCGTTTAGGTTTAGCAGATCTGGTTTGTTACAACCCGTAAGGTTAAAGCCCAAGCCTGCAAAAGAACTACAGCACTCGAAGCTAACTCTTCTTCGTGCTAGAGACTGGCCCACCGCGTTCCGACAGACCGTCGCTGAACCGACCTCCATGGCCGTCACCAGAGGCTCGCCGGGCTCGCGTCGGCCCGCTGCATGGCTGTCCGCCCAGCTGAACGGGCCCTCCCTCAAGTTTCAGGGTTTAGGGCTTTAAGGTTTAGGTTTTGAGGTCTGAGTGCTTATGCTGTTCGGGTTTAGGGCTTTCAGGATTAGGCCAAGGGGCTTATTGTTTGGGCCCGGCTGGGAGCTGGCAAGAGCGTCCAGCAGCACCTGGCGTCACCATCTCGCCTTCCTCGCTCCTGACGTGTCGGTGCTCACCATTCCGCCTTGATGTCCGGGCCGTAGCCTCACACAGACAACTTAATCCATGCGGCCGGCATCCAGCGCGGAGAGTACCTCCCCCTTAGAACAACCACGACTGAACAAGAGACAACCATGGCACGAAAGACATTAGCATCAGAACACATCAGAATCTAACAATGGGAACCCATTCTTTTGATCTTGCAAATCACCACCGTAAACGTCTATAACACCTACTTGCTTTTAGCATCGACATATACATCTTAGTTCGGTAAGTCCAAGCATCATACAGAAGAGTAGATTATAAGTCCTGAACCCTGCACCCCTAAACCTGAACCTCTAAACCCCTAAACCCTAATAATTACCCCGCCAATACCCCTAAACCCTAAACTAGACCGTCAAGTTTCGCTTCGAAGCAACAGGCCTTGAGCCTTGGACAACTTTAGTTGAGGAAGCGCAGTTTCCGGGGGTTTAGGGTTTCGGGGACACTCTGGGTGTCGGGAAGAAGCTTTACGAGGGCACCGCTTGAAAGGGGATTTGGGAGTTATGATTTTAAGTTTGCTTATAAAGTTTAGGGGTTCTGGGATGCATGGCTAAACCCCTTACCTGCCCTGGACCCCTGAACCCCATGATTGCGCATTTAATATTCGGGGTTCAATGCTCGGGAGCCCTGGTGCTTCAGGATTCAAAGACGTGGGGGAAGGAAACGTTAAACCGTAAAGGAGCCCTTAAAAGCAGCCCTAGTCCCGTCATGGAACCCCGTTAAAGGAGCCCTTCAGGGATTCGGGGTGTAGGGTTTCAGGATTCGTGGTCTTCGTCTTCGGGTTGCGGGGTGTTCTTTCTATCGGTCCTTTTCCTCTGGGGATTGTGGGTGTAGGGTTGAAAGGTTCTGAGACCCAGGTCTTCACCAAGATGTTCGAAGCTGACACGATGTCATCGGACCTCATCCTCACTATATGCTATACTCGAATATGCCACAATATCCTAAAATACAGTATTCCATAGGATACGAAACTACAAGTAACATGCAAAGTAAAACTCCAGAAAAGCACAACAGAGTCAACGCCAGAACATACCCGCAAACCCTGCCTAAACCTTACAAAACTTACGCGTTTAGCGGAGAAGTGCCTTGCCGCCAACCAAGATAATGACCACACCAGTGACAACGAAGAGGTACAAGATCACCTCGTGGGTCAAGAACAGAGTCTAAGAAAGCTGGCCATACGCACGGGCGGCAAAGCTCTAGAAGGAATTTATACGGGCTCTGTAGGAGTTTTCGAAGGGCGCAACCAGGCTTCAGTTCTATGAGGGCTCAAAAGCTACAAGAGCTATGTACAGGGCCTCACTTCAACAAGACGTACAAGGGTCCTATGCGAGCTCTTTACACGTCCTGTTACCGCCATGATGAGCATGGTACTGGTGACGAGAAAGAATATCATGATGAACGGCTGCGAGTTGCGATGACGAGATGTGCGTGCTAGAGCTGCTGTTCACAGGTACATACACACATAAATATACACATACATATACAGGTATTTGGCACACATACATGTGTACCTGCACATGTGCAGAAGAGACACACATACATGCATGCAAACATACAACACAGTACATTACGTAACGTTGCGTTACATTGCAATAAAGACATACATGCTGCATACATACATACATACATACATACATACATGCATGCATGCATGCATGCATACATATATACAAGCATACATACATACATACATACATGCATACATACATGAATACATACATACATGACATGACATACGGAAATATAGACATACATACATACATACCTGTATATACATATATGTACGAATAAATGTACATACACGTGCATAAATGTGCATTCAATCATCCAAACAGACATACATTGTATATCTGTGTATGTATATGTATATACATGTATGTATGTCTGTCTGTATGTATGTATGTGCAAACCGAGTGTAACTATATATATATATACAGAAATGTGTATATATATATATATACATATGCATATATGAGTTGAAGTGCACATGAGTTGTGATATATAATTAGAACATACAATCAATAGAACATACTTGAATCAAGTGTCGCAGACTATACACTATACATTAGTAAATACGGGGTAAATTGCTGTTATACAATGGACTACAGGTTGCATGGTAACACCATATGCTAAAGTATGTTGTGTTATGTACTTTGAATATCATATGATAAATGCTCTATACATAAGAGCAATTATATATATATATATATAGATGGTGCAAGTTGTGGTGTCTCCTTACCTATATACTGTACGCAACATGATATCCGTTTTTTTCTACAAAAGTATGTACTATGTATGACAGATGTTTACAATCTGTTATCGGCTGCTGATATAACCCACTATTGAATATCTGGCATGCAAATACTTTTATATCTTCATATACATTTACATGTACACATACATATACTTACATACAGACATACATATGTATGTAAACGTATATATATATATATATATATATATATATATAAATATGTATGTATGTATACTTATAAACATGCGCAAAAACGTATACGTATACATCTACAAAGATACGCACACATACATGCAAGCATACCGACATACACACATACGTGCATACGTACTTACAGACTTACAAACATGCAGACATACAGACGTGACGGATATGACAGACAGACAGACGGACAGACATGCAGGCAGGCAGGCAGGTAGGCATCCAAACACGAACCCATAACGAGACACTCAACCCTCACAAGCCCAAAAGATCCCGAAAGAAGTAGGGACGTGCCTGAATAGATGAACAGTTAGATGAACTGCCGTACATCTGCTCACCTCACGGATGACGTCTCTTATCCAATACCCTGGCGTGCACGTGCAAACTTGGTGCTCGTAGAAACTGAAATGCCATGCATAGTCATATCTTGGTTTACATCGGCAGCTGTCATAGCTGTGACCCATCCTGGTGGGCAAGGCTTGTCGTCCAAAGGTCGACACACACACAGTATTAGGAAGGTTGTTGTGTCTGTAGCGCCACGCAAACATGCGACCACACAAATGGCACCAAAGCTTACAGTATGAGCCCTCTTGTTTCGGTCCCTTTCAAAGCTCTCGGTTCCAAACCAAACTTTGTAGCCAAAAGGATCCCGAAAGATCCCGAAAGCCAAAAGCTGAAATCTTTTGAAACCGGCTCTGCAAATTCGAGCACGAGGGATCCTTGCCCAAGGTGTCAAAAATTCTGACTTTCGTGCATGAAATACCAAAACGTGGCACGAAACATGGGGGAAAACAGAACGAGGCCGGCCAAGAGCATGAAGGAGGCTGTCCAAATCAGTGTATATGGAATGACTGCAGTGATATTCAATAACCAAATCGAGTCGACGGGTTCGGTTCGCGGACGCGCCAGGAGGGTGTATAATTGCATGGCAAGCAGCCAGACTGGAGAGTAACACATAAAGATTCTTGCCCAGATCTTCCAAAAAAAACGCACACACGCGCCCGGCCGGTCGAGTCCAAGTTCCTTCGAAGCAACTCCAACAGTCCACATAAGAGTTAGCGCTGCAACAAGTGGAATGTTTGGTGCAGTAAGCCACACGTCCAGAAGCTCGGCATCTCCAGGCAGTGGTACTGCTGGTCCTCTGTAGAAATAGCGACCGAAGGTGCACATTGTCACACCTATCTGGCAACACAAGGCGCCCAAGCAAAGCAAGACGAATGGCCAAGCAAGGAAATCTTCCATCCATGTAATGGAATCGCGACCAATCTCAAAATGGACCTTGTGGCTGCGGTCCGAAAAGTAAGGGGTCCCTTTCGAATTTAGGGTCGGTGTTCCTAGCCCTTTCGCTACGGATGCTAATATGCCTAGCATCATTGGTATAATAAACAGAAGCAAATAGTATACTACATGTATACAATATGTGTCTATATACAAACATACATCTACGTACTTATAGACATTTTTAGATATACAAGCTTCATTTGCTCGAAAACCGGCCTCGCCGCCCGTCCTCCAGACCTCGTCCCGGGCACTCTGCAAGACGGCCACTGCCTCTTCCCCGAAGCAGTTGTCATCGAGCGACAACTTCAAGGCAGAGTTCTTGAAGAGGCCTGCGAAGCTGGCTGCCCCATCATCTGCAATGATGTTGGAGCTCAGGTCCAGCTTCTGCAACACGGAGTTATGGATCAAGGCATCGGCAAGGTGTTTGGCCCCTTTGCACTTCAGGACGTTGTGGGACAAATCCAGAAATCTCAATTTGGTCTCCTTGCATGCAAGCGCTTCTGCCAGACCCTCTGCACCTACTGCATCCACCAGGCACCAAGTGAATGTTACGTTCAACAGCGCGCTGTTGCCTTTGAAGCCCAGAGCTAATTTGCGCACTGCGTCCCGAGGGATGCGAAGGTTGTTGAGATGTAGCTCTCGCATCGTCAACACGGTGGATAAGGCCTCCGCACCATGACAGTCAACCTGGCTGTTGCTTAGTTGCAGGACTGTTAGGTTCTTGTGAAGCGACAGCGCACCAGAGAGGATCGGGAGTTCGCGAGGGGGCAAAAGGGATAGCTCGAGCGTCTCGCACTCGTCCGCCTTCTCCCTGAAGACACGTTCCTGCAGCTTCTTCACGGCCTCGGCACTGTCTTGGTGCGTGAACAAAAGCTCGAAGTTGGCCACTTTTGCTTGAAAGACCTCAGGCGCCATGGGAGCTCGGGTCCAGGTCTCCGGAGATACGAACGATAGCGAGACAGTCTGTCGAGATTTGCTTCGCATGCTCGACCACTGGCTCTCAGCTTCACACCAACCACGCCGAGAATAGGGTGTGGCATTCTCTATGAGATCTGCCAAAGGCCGTACCTCCACCTTTCCGTCTTGAGGGACCCCTGTCTCTGTGAAGAATACTTGAACATGCTTCTGTCGATCAGCTTCTTCAAATGGGACCAAGTCTTCAATGCGGTAGGTCCAGGTGTACTCATGTGCATAAAAGAAGTGCATGTGCATCATTGTGTATTGAAAGCTTCTGTTCTGATGGACACTTGTACGGTAGAACTGATAAACCGACATGTAGTCCAAGAAATACCAGGAGCACTCGTCGTGCCAAAGCTGGGCCGTGGCGATCATCGCCAGTTGATTCCCCCTGGGATCAGGATGTTCCCTAGTTTCCCACACGTGAGAGATGCCGATAATCCGAACCTTACTGCGATATGCTTCGTCCGTCTTCCACTTCAGTAACTCCTCACGTGTGACGAAAGCGTCCGGGTACTTCGAAGGGCCTTCCAACTCCTGGCGACGGATGAAAGTTTGCTTCTCCCCGTCAAGACGTGTCAGGAAGTCTCCCCGCACCAGGCGAATGTCTACCCGCTCATCCAGGAGGAGGTCGGCGAGCCCCTGAGGATCCTTCAGGTTTGTATAAAGCAGTCGTACCGGGTCCACCGAATCAGTCACGCCTCCGCCTATGTGCATCGCGACACCCATCTCTTCATCGACATCTGGCTGATGAGGCTGCTGCAACACCGCTGCACTCTGTTTCAAAGTGCCCTGGCCCGACATGATCGCGCGCCTTCCCTAAAGGATGCGCCGAAACAACTGGGGCCTCAAGGTACAGTCACGCATTCAACTGAAACGTGATGGCTGGTATTTGCTGAAGAGGCTGCTTAGAAATATCCCAGCTACAGATGCTGTCGGGAGTGGAGCGTCTGGTTGAGGTTGCGCGCGGCTGGCAGCAGTTCTGCAGTCTCATCTCGCTTCGCTTGAGGGCTAATTAGCAAAGCAAGGTTCGTCTTTCCTTCAACTACAAAGAGTGGGGGTTCTAAATGGCTTGTCACACCTGGAACTAGAGCATATCCCCAGTTGTTTATGTACTTCGCTTCCCTGTTGATGTTGTTGCTAAGTTCGGGCTGCATGGCACAGGATGAACTGGTCTGGACTTCTACAGGTTTGGGAGCCGATGCAAGGGCTGAGGTCAGGTTAGCAAACCCTTATGCCCTAAACCGCCAAACTTAAACCTTAAACAAGTCCTTTTGACATGCTGGGGTTCTCGTGCAGACCTTTCTTACAAACCATAACTTCAAAAAGGGGCCCGTAATAATTCGAGCAGGGCTTGTTGGTTGGGTGGTATAGTATACTATACTGGACTTTTAATCAAGAACACAACAAAGCAGCTTGGTAATTAAGTACTTAACTCTAGGCCCGTACCTTGTCAACCTCAAAACCATGGGACATTGAAGCCACAGTCGGAGTTGTAGGCAAGCACCCAATGCCAAGGCCCGTGCGTAGGTCAGAGACCAGGACACATAGAAGGCTGCTGGGTGCATACCTGGGAAGGTCTTTGTCTTCCAAGTCTTTAGGGCTCCGCAGATGGTCTAGGTCTATTCCTTTTTTGCAAAGGTGCCGGCCTTTCGCACATCCATCGAGTTTCCGGTTTATGAGTTAAGTTAGTTAAGGTTTAGTGAAGTCTTTAGGGTTTTCTGGGACTTTATAGCTGAGCAGATATATAGGCTTTTGGATGTGGGGTTGCATTCGGGGTTGACAGGGGGGCCCTAAACTGACTGTCACTCATGACTCCCCCAAAACGGAATACCTCTACATATGAATAGCCGTCATACACCCCTACCCTAAAAGCAATCCTAAACCGAACTACCCACCGAGTCCGATTACGAAGAGTGCAGAGCCTCGCTCCGCGCACTGCGGAGGTTTAGTTTAGGACTTCAGCTTTGGGGACAAGTATTTCATATAGGGTACTCATAGGCCCCATAGTAGTTGCTTTTGAAGATTACCTTGTAACCGCAAAAAGGAACTGCTATGGAGCCTCTAGGTAGTTATACAGGGATTGCAAGTTGATACAAGTACTGACCGGGCGCAAAGGTTAGAATAAGGCTGGGGGAAACATCTGGTATGGGAACATTACGGAACCCTGAGAAATAGTTACTGCTAACTGCTAATCATTAGTCGTTCAGACAACTATACTTTACCCAATCCTGTTCCCACGCGAAAAACAAAGGCCATCAGCTGCCTGCAGTAATCCCTAACGCCTACAACCCTGAACAACCCTAAAGCCAAACTCTGCCTCAAACCACGTACCACGATCCTTTGTTGCAGCGTCTGTTTCAACACCTCAAGATTCGCTTTTCAGCTTTTGGGCTGCTGTGGTGCGGGGTTTCTGACTGATTCTCCAAAAAACTGCACCGGAAACCCCAAACCCTAAAACCTAAACCCATTTTCGCAAGACCCTCTCCTAGGAGTTAGGACACTCTGTTGCTGCTCGGGTGCCCATCATCCGCATTCCATCCCTGAGGCGAGCTTCACGCTCGTGGACAACGCTTGTCACCATTCGGCTGACCTCAGACTCACTCTCGCAGAATGGGGTGCTCTACATAGCAAGCCGCGGCAGCCTAGGCTGCGAAAGGAGAATGGAGATCGAACCGATGTTCTTTGTTTGTACTTCGAGATCGGGGGGGGGGGGGCTTGTAGCATGTGGCTGACAACAGGATGATAAAGAGAGGAAGTCGAAGTAAGGTACTTCTTCCCCCTGCTACCTACCTACTAAACTGAAAAGCCCGTCGTCCAGATCCTTTTAACAGGCACTGTCGTTCTGCTCGACTATCTTTCGAAACTCAGGCAGTAAGGATCAACAAACTTCACCACCTCTGCAATCTTCAACTCTACACCACAAACCACTTGTCCTAGTAGTCAGTCTGATCAGGGGCGAAAAAGAGTGTAAGGATCCGTACTTCTGGGCGACCGGGCGGCGACAACATCACCCAAATCACCCAAACCAAAGCTGCCTAACCCTAAACCCTAAACCCTAAACCGTTTAAGGTTCCGGGTTACTGCTCAGGTAGGCCCTGAACCCTGAACCCTCAACTGCACCCCAAACTCTAACACCTCAACCCTGAACCCGTAAACCTCTAAACCCTCAACCCCGGCAAGCCCTAACCCCTCAACATTCAACACTTAGGCGTCACATGCCCACCAAGACGCCGAATACGTCAGGGAGATGAGGAGAAAAGATGACCTTGGCCGGATCCCAGAGCTGGGGCTTTTGGAGTTTAGAGTTAAGGACCTTGTGGAGTTTGCGGTTGCAGGGTTTATGGTGTGAAGTCTAGGTCAAGGTTAGGTCAAAAAAGGTTTACGAATCACAGCTTGGCGTTTCGCGGTACTAGTTGAAGGACTCAGGGTTTGGGGTAAAAGGAGGGACCCTTAATCAGGACACCTAGGTATGTACCGTTAATATAGCTATTATATGCCCAGTATATAGCCCAGTATAGGGTAGGGGTCCCCATTGAGGGTCCCTCCTTTTCCCCTTTGGCCTTCTTAATCAGGTGAACCGCGCCCCCAACTAAAGGAGTCCTTCTTAGAAGCATAGACTTCTATGCCGACTACGGTTCTGGGTAATGCAGATGTCGGGTATAGGACTTTGAGATGCAGAGAGCGCAGCGCAGTTGATGGTGAGCACAGTAAGGACGGAACGGTCAAGAATTGCACCGTTTCTTCGGTTTAGGGTGTAGGGTTTATGGTTTGCTCTTGTTATAGCATCAACGAATTGTAGGCATTACTGCTGATGTGCTGAACGCAAACCTGAGGCCCCAACCCTAATCCCCTACAGTAAACCCAATGCCGTAAACCCCAGAATGACCCAGGTGTTCATCCTTGCTCGAGCGATGTCGCACTGTGTTTTCGTTGTCGATCTCAGGAGCTGATGTGTATGTGTGTGTGTGTGTGTATATATATATATATATATATGGGTGGTTGTCAAAATTAGGGTCCCTTGTGGGTACCCTAAATATGAGGTGCCGTACTATAATAGGGACCCAAAAAGGGACCATCGTTTTGACAACCACCCATAGCGTTTTCCGATGCACGCCTGCACACAGACACAGGCACAAAAGCCAGCACAGGCAGAGAAACGGCAACAAGCACAAACAAAAACACAGAAACTGGCCAACACAAAGCCAGACAACGAGACAGTCAGACGGTCAGACAGCCAGACAGTCACCACACATTCACTCGCTGATTCTGCTTAGGTTTTGGCTTAGCATTTAGGGTGCGTTGCCTTGCACACGCGTGTAATTACATACTCACTGCAGCCGTTCAGATCCGAATGACCTATATAGCATTCAGAGCTTCGAATTGGGGGGCAGTCCTTATAGGGTTTAGGGTTTACCCTAAACCCCCAAAACCCTGGACCACAAAACTACTGAACTGGCTCTAAAACCCACCATCGTCAACGCTAAAGCCGAAAACCCTGGAGTTTAAGGGCCGTCTTCTCCGTATCTGCAAAACAATCCCCTTAACCCTGAACCTCCAAAACCCAAAACCGCAAACCCTGAAACCTAAAACCCATAACTCCATAACCCTAAAGCCCTAAACCCAAACTGCAAACCCTGAAACCTAAACCCCATAACTCCATAACCCTGGAGCCCTAAACCCCAAACTTCAAACCCTGAAACCTAAACCCCATGACCCCAAAGCCCTAAACCCAAAACTGCAAACCCTGAAACCTAAACCCCATGACCCCAAAGCCCTAAACCCAAAACTGCAAACCCTGAAACCTAAACCCCATGACCCTCCAAAACCCCGAAACCCTTATGGTACCCTTATCGGCCCTTGAAGAAACCCCTACCGATCCCTTTAAAGGAATCCTAAAGCCCCAAACCCCAAACCCTGGAGTCCAGGGCTCAGCGGCCCTTATCATCCCCGGGGCTCCCACAGCGCCTGCGGCATCACCGCGGAGAAGATGTCGATGGACCTCCGGCCGCCCACAAGGGACCCTCTAAGCCGACAGAGAGGGCTACCCATAGGCCCCATAGTAGTTCCTTTTTTGGGGTTCATATATATATATATATATATATATACATATATATATATATATATATACATATATATATATATAGAATTCGATAAGGTAGTCCCAAAAAGGAACTACCATGGGCCTATGGCTAAGCCCAAGGGATGCTTTAAGGGCTACTGTCAGGGCTCCTCTGGGCTCTAAGAGGGGGGTTTTAGGGTGTGGGCTTTAGGGTTTCGGGGTTTAGGGTTTAGGGTTTTAGGGTTTTAGGGTTTAGGGTTTCGGGGTTTAGGGTTTAGGGTTTAGGGTTTTAGTACGGAGATCTTTGACTAGGTACTCTTGTAGGGCTCGGGGTTTTCTTAAAGCCAGGATTCGGGGATCTCGTTTAGGGATGTGGTCCTTGACCCTACTCCGACGTTTAGGAGTGGATCTTTGGGGCTTTAGGGTTCAGGGTTCCTCTGAGCGCGTGCTTCAGCATTCAGGCTTAACAATAGATCTAGTCTAGCTCCTCTTGTGAGGTCGTATGGTTAGCTGACTAGCAAAGTATTTAATGGGTGCTCGTTTTGCCGGTATGGGCGTTTTAGGTTCATGGCCCTAAGCCCAAATTAAACCCTAAACCCTAAGCCCCAACGAAATTTAGGGTTCGGAGCTCGGGTGCGGCACTCAATGGAAGGCTTCGAGTTAGTGGTTCACGGGGAACGGCGGTGTAGGGTTTAGGGCATGGTAGGGCTTACCTGAAACCCGAAAAGTAGGTAAAGTAACTGCGTACTTTGCGGGTCCAGGTAGAAGGAACTATGTGATTGGAGCTGCAGGGCTTAGGGACACAGCTGGACTTCGAAGTTAGAGGCCCCTTGCAATCTCAATCTCTGTGTCCTGAACGGCCTTAACCTGCATATCTCTGAAGCGTAACCGCTCAACCTCGAAGGAGAAAGCTTCCACAGCGGGTTGGCTTCTAGGTTCACCGGTATCCTCTGAACGGTAAGAGTAGGCTGTGATTCTCCAGTTTCTCTCGAAACAACAGGCCCTAAAAGCCCAAAAGAACTTGACCACTTGAACTCCAATAGACTATACTGAATTCCCCTTAGAACCGTAATGAAAAGAATGTATGAACAAAAATGAAAAAAGTCCTGAGGAGATTATGAATGTAGACTATTGCCCTGAAGCCTCAAACACTAAAAGCCACTTGCGCAAGGAGGTTTCCCCGAGGGGCCATGCAGGCGATGGGAAAGGCACCACGATGTGAGGTCGACCGTCCTGCGGCCAACGGATGGGGATCAGAACTTTGGGGTTTCAGCAAGGTTTTCGGGTATACACGGGGTTTCCGAAAATTCCGGGGGTACCTTATTTTGGGGTCCCTGTACTAGGGATCCTACTATTTAGGGTACTATATTGGGGTCCCCTATTTTCGGAAACCCTCACATGGCTTGTGATAGGACAACTGGGTCTAGAGTCTGCCATTACGACTACAACGACGGCTAGCACCCCTCATGCTGTTACAGCTTACAACTGCTACTACTACGACGACGACAGCACTGAAGCTTCCGAAACTTCCCAAAGAGTCGGCTTAGGGTTTAAGGCTCACTTGCAAGAGCTCAAAAAAGCGGCCCTGAAGCTGCAACCCAGCGTCCTCACCTTCTTCACCTCAACGGCAGACTTCGAAGCCAAGCAACCACGCGAAACCCATAAAACCGTGAAAAAAACAACTCCTCAAACCGAAAACCTCAAACGAAAAAGCTTGAACCCTTATCGCCGAGCCCGACATCTTCAAGTCTCTCTCTAGCAGTGCACCTCGCCAAACCAATTCCCGCCACTCAAGGGCACCTTCTCCACCTGGCTTGACGTCTCTTTCTCGAGAGATGGGAGCTTCCGAAAATAAGGGGTACCATATTTGGGGATCCTTATCATAAGGATCCTACTTGTTTAGGGCACTATATTGGGCCCTATTTTCGGAAACCCCCAGGTGGGAGCTCGGGTTGAGGGAGTTTAAGGTTTCAGGCTTGAGGGGTTTGGGATGATAGGCACAGAAGCCACCAGAACGGTTTCCCTCCTGCTATTGTTCGTGTGGTCCCTCCGACTATCAGACATTGTTTTTGGAGAGTATTTGGCACCCGGAAGAGGAGTTTAAAGTGGGACACTGAGGTCGCCTAAAAGTAAAGGGTTGGGGGCCTGGAAATTACACAGCTTCGGTACCGAAGACATGTAGATTCAGTACCAAATTGAGATACTTCAGCAAGTGCCAATGTATCATTTCGCCCGGTGATGTGCGACGCCATCGGAAAAAAAGCCGCTCGAATACCCTAAACCCTATCCCCTAAGCCCTAAAGCCTAAAGCCTGCGCCCTAAAGACCCTCAAATGCATTCAAAGGCCCTCGAAAAGGCTCTTTGAAGCGCCTTAAGCTTCACGGGCTGTGGAAAGTAAGCTCTTCATTGATGGTTGGGTTGGATGGCATAGGTTTAGGGTTAGTTTAGCAGATGGGTTCAGGGGATACGTTCAAAGGCTCTGTACTGTACAGTATTTCAGCACTGGGAGGCCCATAAGCCGGGGCTGGAACGGCAGGTGAAGCTTTAAAAAAAGTTCACTAACTGTTAAACCACCGAAAAGACACTGTTTCCAATCGAAAGTTAGCTCTGCAATGATGAACCCTAAAGCCTAAACAAACAAACCCCTAGCCCTAAACCCAGAAACCATATTCCCTAGACCTCACCCCCCGCCCCGGCCCCCTGTTCACCTTCCCGTGGCTGTCGACAGCCTCTCGGGTCTAACACGGCCAGACACAGCGGTGCATCGGCGTAGAGTTTAGGGAGACTCCAACAACTGTGGCAGTTTCCGAAAATTCGGGGCTACCTGATTTGGGGTCCTTATCATAAGGATCCTACTATCTAGGGTACTATCTCAGGGTCCCCTATTTTTTGGAAACTCCCCTGTGTGACGAGGTCATATGAGGACTGTTCCGCCCTGTCGTGGGTTCGAGTGCTTCGGGAGCATTCACACAGGTGAAGGCCCCTTACGTAAGGGTGCCGAGTTAAGCTGATGGAACTGGGATCCGGGAAGCTTCATGTTTCGAGATTCTAGCTGGTTTGGGATCATCAGAAGTCCTTTCGTTTCGGGAGTTGTTGATGCTTTTAGGGAACTTGAGGGAGTAGGGATTCAAGGCCCCGGTTCGAGGCTTGCGGCTTTTCGGCTTCAGAATGGGATTGTGGCGGCAGCGGGAGCTTGTTCGGAATAGGGTGAAGGGCTCACAGAACGTTGAGGAATGCTGCTCCGATTTCCTGGGTGGCTCAAGGTCCGCGCTGAAGCCTAAACACTAAAGCCTAACCCCTACAACCCTTAACCAAAAAGACCTAAACCCCTCAACATACAGATCCCCCCAACCTAGGCCCAAAACTACTGTCAGGGTGCTTATTGTGAGAGTGGCGTATTGGTTCAGCGATCTTGGGTTCCTCTCTACTTCTGACCTTGCTGAACTTGCACCATGAGTTAGTTTCTGTGTGTGTGTGTGTGGTTGTTGTTTGTTTGTTGCATGTGTTCAGGAGTTCGTGTTTCCGTCTACATTGAATGCAACATGCGTTATGGAACTACCGCAACTGGGCAGCTTCAGCTGAACCCCCCCATGCAAAACAAACGAACCACGTCTCATCGCACAAGCACTTGAAACATACCGAAAACAGCGAAAGCTAGAAACCCGTCATCCGAACGCCTCGATAAACGTGTCGACCGTCCGCTGCAGGGACAAGAACCCGCTCTGGGCATACCTGTCTCACACGTTGCAGGGTTTAGGCTTTGGGGGTTTGGGGTTGTCAGTTTAGGGCTTTGGTTAAGCAAAGCATTGTGCCTTTACAGGGTGCTGCAGAAGTGCTGCACAGATGCGACAATGCCTCATGATGCTTCTGCGGGTGTATGAGGAGGCTTTCACAACGTCTCACGCTAAACCCCAAACCCTCCACCCACAAAAGCTCCTGTATGCTCAAACCCTAACTAAACCCGTTCCTCCACACGCGCTTATACTTACTAAGGGCCCTCCTGTGGATCCCTGAGCCCGCACCCTATAGAGAACCAGGCCATCAAAGCACTCTATAGACGATGGAAGGAATCGAAGAACCTTATAAGCCAAATAAGAGGCCCCAATGAGCCTCAACCCTAAACATTCCTGAAAGCCTTTATCTTTCTCCCCTTTAACAGGGCTTTGGTGCTTCGGGAATAACTCCAGAAGCCCAAATACCCTGAACCCTAGACAGACCAGGCACCATGTGAGTCCGCTGGCGTCGAAGCGACCGTCCTGTCGAGATTTGACTGGTAGGTTTGCGAAAACAAGGCAAAGATTGGAAGGATACTATTGTCTATTGTATTGATAGTAGTTGTACGAAAAATACTAATAACATTAACAATTATTACGTATACTAATACAATACTACTAGTATCAATACTTCAATATATATATATATATATACATAACAAATACACGATTGTGTATTATCCTACCTATTTATTTTTCTATCTGTATATATACATACAGCGAAGTGGAGCAACGGCCGCAAGCTGCTGATGACTACAGGCTTAGGGTTTGCAGGGCCAGGTCTGCCGGGCTTCTGGGCAACGCAGCTTCATATGGGTGGTTTAGGGGTTTAGGGTTTAGGGGTTTAGAGTAGGGGTTTAGTTTGTTTTTGGGATCCCTGATATGATACGGCACCTACTATTGGGGGTGCCCCACAAGGGACCCTAATTTTGACAACTACCCATGTAGCACTGCTGATGTGCCACATTCTGCAATACCCTACGGTTTACGGTTTCGGGTTTTCGGTTTCGGGTTTAGGGTAGACTATGGGTATATAGTCCATATTATGCAAAGACAAACATGCTAAGGCAACATGTTGCCCGTGAGGTAAGATGACCGCCCGAATAGAAGGATGGATATTTATTAGGAGCTTTTGCAAGAGCTTGTTATATTTTTACTATTCATACGATTATTTCTAGCCTTACTACTGGTACTATTCTTACTATGAGGTCAACAATCAGGTTTTCTATCTATTGGGTACTTTGGGGCCCTTCGGGGAAAGAAGAAAAAGACAGGCTGTCACAAAGTCAAACACAAAACCTTAAGCCCCCGAAGCCCCAACGCCCAGACAAAACTCTAGAGCCATGACAGAAGCCCAACACAGAACCCTAGCACAGGGGTTAAAATCGGATTTTGGGGCATGCCATAGTACAGCTACAAGAAGGAACCTCAGGGAGTGATGCTTCGAAGTCCTGAGGCCCCTTCATTATACAACTCCAGAACTACAGTCCCCACCTGCTCCTTCTTCTTTTCCACCAGGCCCTCTGTGGTCAGCTTCCCGCCCTCCAGCAACAGGGATTGGGGTCTAGGGTTAGGGATTAGAGTTTAGACTTTGGGGGTTAGGACTAGGCTGCAGGGTGTGGGAGTGCGGAAGGGGCAAAACTTGCCTAGATCCTAAACCCTAGACCCCCATGCATGGTTAAAGACATATGGTTTGGGGCTGGTTGTCGGGTTTAGGGACGAGGGTCGAAAATTCTGGAGTTTGGGGCCAAAGGGGATTACAGCCCAGACCTTCCAAAATCCCTTAATTAAGCAATATACCTTAAATCATATTAGGAACCCTATTCTAATTTAAGGTATATCCCTTAATTAAGGGATTTTGGAAGGTCTGGGAGGGTCTTGGCTTCCAGGCCTTCCTACGCGGACCATGGGCTCGGACCATAACTCGGACAAAGGAGATTCTTCAAACCCCGAGCTTAAACACTGAATGTATATGTCAAAAGGATCCGCGTAGTAAGGACTTCAACACGAGCATTGAAAAGGCAGACGATGTCGAAGACCTCGGCTTGCAGCATAAAGGGCGGGGGAAGGCATGGCCCTAAACCCTAAACTTCCTAAACCCTGAACCCCAAACCCGAAGTCCCCCCACAACAAACCTTGAGATTTGAGGGTTTAGGGCTCAGGGTGAACGCTAAACGCCGCCTTGAAGATGGCCACCCAGGCTGGGATGTTGGGATCGAAGCCTGGCGAAGTGTTCAGGTGTTTAGGGTGTAACGGTTCAGGCATGTACGGTTTAAGGGTTTAGTTTAGAGTTTAAGGGTTTACGTAGGGTTTACGGGTTTCGGGTTTAAGGTTGAGGATTTAAGGGTTCAAGGTTTAGGGGGGCTAAGCTTTTCACGGTTCGTCGGTTTAGGGGTTCAGGTTCTAGGTTTCTCCACCCTTTCACTCACGGGTTTCGGTTTTTTTTCTGCATCTGGCTTCCTTTCTTCTGTAGACTTCGAGCTTTTTGGGTTTCAGGGTTCAGGTGCTTTTGGGTGCCGGTTTGTGTAAGTTTAGAGGATTAGTCTCGGGATGCAGACCTCAGGCTCTTGGGTTAGGTGCTGGGATTAATCAGAGACGGGAGTTTCCGAAAATAGGTTACCCTAATATAGTACCCTATATAGTGGGATCCTTATTATAAGGACCTCAAAATAAGGCACCCCTAATTTTCGGAAACTCCCATACTGCAGAAAGGATATGTGGATTTCAGGGGGCACGTAAAGTTTATAGCTTCCCCAGGTCGTGAAGGCGTCGTCAGGTGCTGGTGTTTCTTTTCCGGCGGAGACGGTTTGATTTAAGGATCCCTAAACCCTAAAGTGTAAGCCAGGCATTGCAAGTTTACGCTCACCAACGCACAGTTCACATGCGATCCAGATAATAAGAAGCTTTCCCTGTCGCCTGGAGAGTTCCACCCGGAGTACAGCCTAAACCCCATTTACAAATACCAATAACTTACCTCTGTGTAGGTTGTTATGATAGACCCCTAATATAGAACCTACGGGGATGCTAGAAAGAAGTAGGTTTTTGGTAGGTGAAGGTAATGGAAGGGCTTCCGAGTAGAGGAAGTTCGAGATTTACGGTTTCAGGCTTCGCACTACCGTGTCGGATTGAGGCCACGGGTTTCTTTAGGGTTTAGGGATTAGGGGCAAGGTGTGCACTTGGTTGGCACTTCGAAAGGATCGGGGGACCTAGTTTGCAGATGAGCATTAGCACTGCATAGTTACCGCGAAAAAACTTCGTCAAATCTGCTGTGGCCACATGTGCGAAGGTTCAGGAAAACAACTGGGGCTCTCCTGCCGCCCTGGCTTTTAGGTAAGGCCCTAGAGTCCTGAGGCAAACCCGATAAAACAAAAAAGCCTCACAACCTCTGACCCTAGCGGATAGGGCTCCGACGTTCGCCGTCAAGGTTAGAGTTTAGGGATTAGGGGCTCGGATGAACCGGTAAAGAGATCCTGACGCTGTAGGGTCCACGGATTGTGCTGCGGCTTAAACCAGAAAGTGCTATTCTCCAGCCAGGCCAATCCCGCAAAACCTGATAGAGTTCTGGTAGACCCGTATGATCACAAGAAGAGTAGCAACAAGAATCAGCATGTGTGTAGCAACATTGACAATGATGACAACAATACAAGACTGGTCATGATCATCAGTACTAACCATCATAATCTTAAGAACAACCATGAAAGAAAACAATAATACTGAGAATGATCATCATATTAAGAACAATAAGAAGAAGCCGAAGAAGAAAGAAGACCATACCCCTTGCCGGCCTAAGCTCCGGTTGAAGCGGAGCGAATACTTCACCTGCTTGGAGGATCAGGGGACTTTTTAAGGCTTCTGTAGGGTTTTACAAGTTCTTATAACCCCCAAAAACAGAGTGCATTTTTCAGTTACAGCATTTTATAGGCTATGGCAGTCATTCGGCGACCAAGCCAAAGCTACTACAATGCAAGGTCTAGGTCCAGGTGATTGTTCATATCCAGTTCCACTGGGCTGGGAGGGGGGCCCTGACAGCTTTCGTAGACCCAATGCAGGCGCATCAATTGCTGGAGTAGGGTTTTGAGGTATATAGTCAGAACAAGGAGCCCTAAGGAAAGATTTTGGTCATTTTGCAGTTTTCCAACATCAATATTAGGGCCTGGAAAATTGGAATAGGGTCGTATAGAGTCTTAACTGAAAACTGCAATAGGGCTTTGGGAATACAAGTTGCTGTAACAATATTAGGGACATAAGGGGACTATAAGGGGAGACCATGATGAACTATACGACGCACGATTAGCAAGCTAAATTAACTATGGGGCCATCTATTTGGTGTGGAGGCTGAATCTACGCCTCGTTCTAGGGCTTCATGGCTGAGGGGCTTAAGGCTTAAATGGTTTGTTTTTTTTTGGCTTTGGCGTTTACGTCAATTGAGGCCTCACAAGTGAAGGGGGGATGCAGGTAGGTAGGATTAGGGATACCTTACATAAGGGCTCACAACTGGGGATCATATCACCCACCTTCATCCCACCCTTGGACCTTTGACGAATTGGTGTTTCGGGCTTAGGAGTTCAGTGCGGCTTCTGTCTCGGGTCTGGGTCGCTCCTCTAGCAGGGCCTGGGGGCACAGGCTTCGAAGGTGTCATGGAGGGATCAGGAAGGACTGACCCCACTCCCCCAAACCCCAAACCCTAACTAAGCCAACTAAGCCCAAAAACCCTACACACTGAGCACTAAAGCGCTCACAGGTTTTTTGTACTTCGGTTGATGATATAAAGCCTGCATTACCCATACTGAGGTATGTACCACAATTCCCATAGTTTAGAGCCCTTAAAGTAATGCAGAATTTAAAATCAACCGTTGTACTGTCTGCGTTCGGGTTTGGGTTTTAGCAACCTGTCTGGGCTCTGCGACAGCTGGGCGCTGCAATGGTTACATCTTGCGGGTGCAAGGATTACATCCTAAGCCCTGGCGCGTAAAGTGTATTGATATTAGAGTTTTGGGGCCCATTGTAAGATAGTTATAACAAGAAATCGCCAAAAATATTATGGGTGGATATTGAGGCCCCTAGAGTATTTTTAGCCGACGACAGTATACTCTCATTTACTGTTCAGAGTTCTGAAACCAATCAGGACCAAGTCGAAACCCCAAAACCGAAGCCCTAAGTTTCAACCCTGAAGCGTTTACGGGGATCCATGAGGGGTCCTTTGCAGGGATCTATGAGGCGTCCTTTAAAGCCGTCTGGGTCTGCGGCTTCAGGCGACCAGGGCGATGTCTCGAAGACCACGGCGCCGCAAAGTGCCTCTCAACCATGATACACACACCAGAACCCTCCTTGTACCCTCAAACATGGGTATATGATCCCAAATAAGGGGCATTTAGGGTCTAATAGAGGGTAGATGGAGGGTCTAGGCATGGGTGGCTCTTAGGTACGGCCCCCCATACAGTAAGAGTCTATAATAGGGCTACTATTAAGGTCCTAGTATACCTATATTATGAGTATTATTCAACTATTACTGAGTGGGGGCCGTACCTACGGTGGTTCTCAGAATTACGGTCCCTTTTTGCGTACCCTGAATATTAGGTGCCGTACTATAATAGGGACCCAAAAAGGGACCCTAATTTTGACAACCCCCCACATGTTCATGCAGCCGGATTCTGAGGTGTTTAGGAGTTTCCGGCTCAGTGTTCAAGAGGTGCAGAGTTTCAAAGTGTAGTTCTTTACTGTAAGCCGAACTTTGGCATTAGTGAACGCTGGCATTTACTACAAAGGTAGGACATGCAAGCTTCTTAACAGGATTAGCTCCAAATTCGAGCCGGCATCTGGGTAGTTGTCAAAATCATGGCCTCTTAGTGGATACCCTAAATATTAGGTGCCGTATTACAATAAGGACCCAAAAAGGAACCATAATTTTGACAACCACCCATCTGACCTCGCTGTGTTCTCTGGCGTCTTGGTCGGTCGGAGCCGACACCGTCAAGCCTCAGCCTCATTATCGGACCAAGTGGGAGTTTCCGAAAATGGGGGACCCTAATATAATACCCTACTACATAATAGGATCTTGAATAAAAGGACCCAAAATAAGGTACCCCCCAAGTTTCGGAGACTCCCAAGTCCATCCAGACTCAAGAGCAAGAGTACTGCGGCAGGATCGCCATCGGCTCTCTCCCAGCTGCAAGCCAGCGCTGCATGTTCGAACAATGCTTCGCAGACGCCAAATGGTCGGGTGGTACGTACCGATAACAGAGGAGGCAAGACTCCTTTATCCCGTATTGTGGACTGATCCTAAACACTACACCCAAGCCCTTCCATGGCCGGTCTCGCCACACCCGTAACGCTCGTATACGGGAAAGGCGAATTTAGGCGGCAGCCGCGGCTTGCCACCTGCACCGGTTCCCTGCAAGAACATTCGTCCAACCATGTCCTCATGTCAGGTGTTCCTTTTATCCAAGTCGTGAAATGGGCTGTACCGTAGCCTAAGCAAAAAAAGGATCCTATAGTTCGAGTAGTAGCGGGGCAACATCATCTTGCTGTGACTGCGACGAAGTTCATGTTTGAGGCCACCGACATGTTTTCGAGATCAGTAGCAAACTTGAGTGCTTGAAACGAACACCGAAACCCCTCATCCCCTTCTCCCCGCAAGACCCCCACCATCCTCAAGCCCGTCACCATCCCTGGTATAGTCTGGGTATGCCGAGGTCACAGGGGTGAGACATGGCTAGCCATTTACCCTAAACCCCAAACCCTAAACCCTGGGTTTGAATTGGGGTTTACAGGACATTTTGAGACCAGAATCCGGCTTTGAAGACCTCGGTTCCGATCGTCGGGTTTCGGTCCGGCACTAGTTTAAATAGGGTTCAGGGTCTATTGGATTAGGGTTTACGGGTTAAATAGGGTTTAGGGGATTCGGGTTTAGGGGATTAGGGTTTCGCCTATAACCTGCATCAACACTGGGACCCTCAGCGAAACAATTCGGAATGAGGGCCTTAAGGACTAGACCCCACTTGTCTGGTAGATGAAACAACCATACACAACAAAGGGATGCGATTTGTACTGATCCAGAGCTCAATGTTTACAAATGGGGCTGCCCTCTCAACCAATCCCAAACTCAAAACCCTAAAACCTAACGAAGCCTAACTTTTTAACCTAAACGCACCATTACGTGCTCCCTGTTTGGAAATACCGCGCATGGCCAACAACGATTCCAGGGCTAGAGTAAGACAGGGCCAAACGAAGTTAAGACAGGATTCTGGGATGGGTTATACCATACTCATCAAACGGCTCCCTAACAAATAGCATTCGTATTTGTAGTTGTTCAAGATTTTCCATGTTCGCTTCCCTACAGTTGCATACTTAGCATCTACTTCCACTACTCGGGGCGCCCCAAAAACAAGGCTCGGCATGAAGTCAAGAAATACCCTAAAGCCTAGGCCTAAACCCTAAACCTGCCCGAAACCCTAAAACCCAAACCCTAAGACCAATAAAACCCAAACCCTAGGAGCCCTAAGCACCGAACCCTGAGCCCTTGAAGTAGGACATCCCCTTTCTGAAGGTCATTTTCCGCCTCGGACTCGTTGCCCGACCTGGCTGTTTTGGAGTCAGTAGGAGTTGGGATTAAGGTGACCCTTGGGGAGATAGACCCTCTCTCATTAAGGTCCCTCTTAAGAGAGCCGGAAGTAGGATAGTTAAGAAGGGCGAGGGGGGCCTCTAAGGGGCCTCCCTAATACTACCTGGGAGTCCAACGTTTGGACTTTACCGCTTCAGGCTTGTGGTTTAGAGTTTCGTTTTAGGGTTCGGAGTTCAAGGTTTATAGGATTTAGGGCTTTAGGGTTTCGTGTTCTTGTTGTTTAAGCTTAGCAGGCTCGGGTTGTAGAGCTTTGAGGGTCAGAAGATTGCGTGGATTCGGTTGCTGGAGCTCCGGGCAACTTTGTCACGAGCCGCCTCGTGTCTTTAAGCGGGGACTGCAGCCAGGGTTAGCCGGGCCTTCAGGATTACCTATACTACTTTGGGGGATCCTTAGTATAATTATAGTATAATTAATGGGACTCAGAATTAACCCTATTCTGATTATAAAGGCCCCTAAATCACTTCGCTCCTGTAGTGTCTTGGAGGAGCGGCTGCGTACTCGTTGCAGACCATGGCCCTACAATACTGGACCCAACACCCCACCGAAGGCCCAAACCTAAACGCGCCCCCAGCGCCCTCAAAGGCTTTTCCTACCCCGGGGTAGACGATTACTTAAAGGATCATGGGACTTAGTAACTAGGGTTATAACTAAGGTAACCGTACTTATAATTACTTATAACCTCAATTAAGGTACTCATAACCCTACTTACTAAATCCCATGATCCTCCAAGTATAGGTGACGTCAACGCATAGAGGTCAGGGCGCAGGGCTGAGTTATCGGCTCCTCAAGGGAGGGGGGTCCAAGGCGGGTTCATAACCTAGTACTCGTTCGAATTAGGTTCCTTGATAAGGGCTACCATAAAATAAGGGTTTGCCATAGGGCTACACTAGGATAGCATAGGGTTGAACTAGGGTCCAGCGGGGCATCATTGGCAAGCCTTTAGAGTTCGATATTATGTATGGAGGCATCAGGGCTTCTAGGATGTATAGTTCATGAGTGTATGAGTCTTTTGTCGCTTGTAGGCTCTTTTTTGCATATTGTAGGGCTGAAAGGGCCTCCTGGGTGCGCAAGGTTGCTTGTACGGCTTGGGGCGTGTCTTGCGGTGTTATACGGATCACAGCGGCCCTTCTGGTGTTGCGCACCCCGGCCCCAAATGCTACCTAACCCGATAACACCCGTAGAAAGCCACCATTAACCCGTAGAACACCCTAGAGACCAGCTTTAAGCTGTTCCCTATAGTCTCTCTCAACACCCAATATAGTGCGCGCAACAGCAAGCTACAAAACCATTATGAAACTACTCAACCCTACACCCTGAAACCCTAAATCAAAGCCCTACACCCAAACCCTGAACCCCAAACCATAAACCTTAACCTTTAAACCCCGCAGCCTGCGGGGATACTGGTCATCCTCGAGGTGGCTCTGGACCTGCGTCTTGAGCAGGATAAGGGAACTTAGGGCTTTAGGGTTACTTTTCTTCTATAAGAGGATAAGGGAACTTAGGGGGTTCTAGGGTTTCTTTTCTTCCATAAGAGTTTCGAAAACTCTCTATGATGGTTCTAACATTGAATATGACGGCGTTAGGGGTTTCTACAAGTCTATAAAGGCTTCGGGCTTTAGGGTTTCTAGAATGATATAAGGTCTTCCAAAATTCTCTAAGGGTTCTAGAGAATAATATGGCTTCAGGGCTTTTTACAAGTCTATATATATATATATATATATGTATAAATATTTATATATATATATATATATATATATACATATATATATATAAGCTCTAGAAAGGGTTCTGTGAGGAATAGTAGACTCCACCAAACACTCTAGCTTCAATCCTTAATATTAGACACCCTAAGCAGGGTCTGAATAAACGGTACCAGTGTTGTCATAGCTTCAGGATAATGTACCCTAAGGCCCTAAGTCAGATACCTAAATTTCCCAGTAGCCCCTCAATCTCTCAAATATCGTAGCGGCGATGCTTCTACCTACAAAAGAGCTGAACCCGACCCCGTACTTCAACGACTTATGGAGGGCTCACGGTACGCTGCTCATCGAGAACAGAAGTCTCAAGTGGACCAAGAGAGGACAAGCTTGTGTGACTTCCGTTCTTGCTGGCTGCCTCCAAGTTCAACAACTAGCACATGAATTTTGGTCTAAAGTCTGAGTTGGGATCCTTGGGGATTGCTTATGATTTATGATGTGGCTATAGGGGCTCTTATTATAGGGTGATGGCGGATCCAAAAGGAGACCCCGATTCTCAGAACTACCCTTTCAGAACCGACTCTAAACGCATACTTCTCCGAATCCGGGTTTACGGTTCTTGTTAGGGGAGAACTACTCATGCTTCCAAGAGGCTGCTTCCGCCGAGTCGAAGATGCGAATGCCTTCGCTGAGTGCTCAAGATTTCCTGAAAACCCTAAAGTTTTCAGGTCACCCTAAACTCTAAAGCCAAGCCCCACACCCCAAATTGTAGCATTGGGACAGTGAACAACGCATGCATTGAAAAGGCGACATGCAGTATAAGCTAACTACGAGTCCTGAGCCATATCTTACATGTTAAACCCCAACCCCAAACCCTGAACCCTAAACCGAACCAATTCAAAAAGAGCTTAGAGAAAGAAACATCAGATGAGGAGCTCCCTGGAAACTAGGACCTAAAGGCGTGATACCGGTCTTCAAGTAGAGATAAAGAAACCTGCTTGTGAGGGTCCCTGTACACACAAACCCTAAACATCCCCTCAAGCCTCACACATCTCTAAACCCTTAACCCTTGCCCTTGAACCCTAAAACCCTGACCCCCAAACCCCCAAGATCCCTAAACCCTGAACCCTAAACCCTCAAGATCCCTAAATCCTACACCCGGAACCCTTAAACTTAAACTCTGAACCCTGAACCCTAAACCCTAAATCCTACACCCTAAATCCAAAAAAAAACCTAAATCCTAGATCCTAAATCCTAAATCCTGAATCCTAGATCCTAAATCCTAGATCCTACATCCTAAATCCTAGATCCTAGATCCTAAATCCTAAATCCTAAATCCTAAATCATAAATCCTAGGTCCCACATCCTAAACCCTAGACCCTACATCCTAAATCCTACATCCTAAATCCTAGATCCTAAATCCAAAACCTTGATCCTAAATCCTAAATCCTAGATCCTAGATCCTAAATCCTGAATCCTAGGTCCTAGATCCTAAATTCTAAATCCTAGATCCTAGGTCCTAGATCCTAAATCCTAAACCCTACATCCTGAATCCTAGATCCAAAATCCTAAATCCTAGATCCTAAATCCTAAACCCTAGATCCTAGATCCTAAATCCAGAATCCTGAATCCTAGGTCCTAGATCCTAAATTCTAAATCCTAGATCCTAGGTCCTAGATCCTAAATTCTAAATCCTAGATCCTAAGTCCTAAATCCCAAACCGCAAAGCCTTAGACCGAGCCCTTTGAGCCGGCTAAGCGTCGCGAGGACCAGGGATGGTTGGACTTCCTGGGCTCTTGGAGGGTTTGGGGTTTTAGGGTTTGGGGTTTGGGTGTTTGGGGCTTAGGTTTTAGGGTTTGGGGGTTAGGTTTTAGGGTTTGGGGGTTTGGGGGTTTGGGGCTTAGGTTTTAGGGTTTGGGGCTTAGGTTTTGGAGTTTGGGGGTTTGGGGGTTTGGGGCTTAGGTTTTAGGGTTTGGGGTTTGGGTGTTTGGGGCTTAGGTTTTAGGGTTTGGGGGTTTGGGTGTTTGGGAATTAGGTTTAGGGTTTGGGGCTTAGGTTTTAGGGTTTGGGGGTTTGGGTGTTTGGGGCTTAGGTTTTAGGGTTTGGGGGTTTGGGGCTTAGGTTTTAGGGGTTGGGGTTTGGGGTTTGGGGGTTTGGGGCTTAGGTTTTAGGGTTTGGGGTTTGGGTGTTTGGGACTTAGGTTTTAGGGTTTGGGGGTTTGGGTGTTTGGGGCTTAGGTTTTAGGGTTTGGGGTTTGGGGCTTAGGTTTGAGGGTTGGGGTTTTAGGGTTTGGGGTTTGGGGGCTAAGGGTTTAGGGTTGAGGGTTTAGGGTTTAGGTTCTGGGGTTTGGGGTTTGGGGGTTGAGGGTTTAGGTTTTTGGGTTGAGGGTTTGGCGGTTCTCTTTCGGAAGATGTCGCAAGGGGTCTTACAAGGCTCTATAAGGGCTTCCTAAAGTGCTCCTGTGTGGGCTTTGAAGGTTTGACGGCTTTGAGTTATCAGGTCTAGGGCCCTGGAAGCAACGGACCTCAAGCATGGTTATACACGTGTTGAGGCTTTATAGACCCCTTGATTAAAGGAACCCTTAAAGAAACCCTATTCTAATTATTAAGGCACCTACACACCCCTTTCTTAGAGGAACCCTTAAAGAAACCCGATTCTAATTCTTAAGGCACCTATACTACTGTAAATCCCTGCATCTCCGTCTATGGAGTTTTGAGGGGCCTCAATAAGGATTCGATAGGACTGAAGGTTGGGATCCGGGGTTTAGGGTTTAGGGTCTTAGGAGTTAGGGGTTGTGTCTAGGGTTTTACTGGCAAGAGGGTTTTAGAGTGCCAAGGCTGCGGGTCTTAGCTCTTCGGGGGATTTTAGGTATTTGGAGCTTTAGGATCGGGGAGTTCTGGGTTTAGATGCGATGCTGCATTTGATGTAGCGCTCTTGATCTTTGGTTGAGGTGGTGTAAGATATAGAATGCAGGAAGCCTTACATCATCATCAAGCGAGTATACACATCAACAAACAGAAGGTCTTGTGATCCAAACTATGTCGACCTCACGTATGATATGCAAAAACTCACAACTTGTGAAGCTCTGTTCCTATATAAGCCCCTGAGACCCAAAATGACATCAACATGCAACACAACTCCCCTGGGCTTATACTCGAACAACAGTCGTTCGGGATCTCTAGTTTCTTTAAACCTGTATCTTTACTGCTCTGTTGAAAAAACGCAAACTCTGAACCTCCCTAAACCCGAAGACCCAAACCTTGAAACCCTCGAACACAGCCGGGGAACACTAGCCAGTCACGGAATTGAGTTCCTCCTTCTCGTGGAGCCTAATTCAGCTCATGGAGTTTGTAGGGACGGCAACGTCACTGGAGAGAAGGTTTGCAACCTACTGGCCGAAAAGTCCTCAGAATCGGGTTCGGAAATACAATGGCATGGGCGGGAGCATGATTTGTTATACTTAGCGTAGACCCCTGATGTAAAACAACCTGCACACACATCCTTCTTAGGGAGGGAGGGGGTCTGTTAAACAAGCCCACATGACCAAGCATCGAGGGCCGCGAACCCTAAACGACAGAGGCCAATGTGTGGGTTGTGCTGGTATGCTTCGTTACAGTTATAGAAATGCCGTACATGGAAATTAACTGTGTGCCACGTCAGGCTGAAGCTTGTCCAATGGCAGTTGTATTGCGGGACTTCATGCCTTACCTTTGGTTAGTAGGGAATGGAAGAATGGTGGCAATAGTAGTCCGCCGACCCTGGCGGCGTGTTGGATGGGTCTCGATGGGCTTGGAGGTGTTAACCTCCCTTTTTCCCTCCACCAAAATCCCGCCCAGTGTGCCCCCGGGGGGGGGGGGGGTACCCCATGGCTGTTTGCAAGGAGCACCCAAGCCCCCAAAAGCACCACACCACAGCCCATTGGGTTCAAATCCCCCTCCCCGCCCGCCTCCCCTCCCCCCCCTCCCCCCCCTCCCCCTGCCCCCTTCTCCCCCCTGCCCGCCTCCCCTCCCCCCCTCCCCCTTCCGCCCCCTTTCCCCCCCTTCCTCTTCAACCTTGACATCTCCGCTCCAAAGTGCTCCTTGTTCTTACTTCGCGTGATCGTCGCGCAGCCTCGCCGCCTCTTCCCCCCGTTGTGTCTCACAATCTCTTAGAAGCGCACCAGCTTAACCCTGACCCCCAAACCCCAAACCCGAAGACCCTACTATAGGGGCCTTGATGACTAGGATAAGGTTTTGGTGGGGGTATATTACACTATACTTATCATAAGGAACCCCCACACTACTTTAGGAAACTATGGAGGCCCCTACATTAAATCCCAAGAGGGTCCTGAACCGTGGCAGACGGAGGCGCCCGGAGCCGATCCTACATGATCCTACCACAATTAAAAGGTTAAGATGTTCCTGAAACCCTAACCCTAAACGGTTCTAAAGGTGTTGAACATAGGGTTTCGGGACGGTTTAGGTTTCGGGTTTAGGTCCTGCGGTAAGGCTTTGTTTGCACTTCCCATCTTGGCGTCTCCTTCGAGAACTAAACCTACGGGCCTCGCGGACACCAAACGACTTTGCCTGTACAAGTGCATTCGGCTTCTGGTCTGTCGCCCACGGGGTCGGCGGCTTGAGCCGGAGGCTCTTAAATCGGGCAGCGCTTCGCTGCCCTGTATGGACTGAGCTATGGCTCAGACGAATGAGCTTCGTCTGCGAAGCAGAAGCCACGACCGACAGTGCCGCCGA